AAGTCTATTAGCACACAGTCTGGCAAATCAGAATGACACGCAATGTCCAGATACTCTTGAATATAGCCTTCAAGTGGGCGTGTACCCTGCTTTAAGGCTAATAATAGTTTGGCAGTGTCCATACCTGGCCAATGTCCACGGGAAAAGCTGCTGGATCCTTGTGGGGCCGAGTATGCGGTTACGGGGCTGACGAGACGCGAGACGTGCGGATCCATGTGCAAAGCTTTATTCTGGAGACATGGTCAGAAACAGGCATAAATCAAACATTGGCAAACAGGTATGCAAGAGACCAGGCATGGGCAGTACGGTAAACAGTGAGGGTCAATCGATGACGAACATAATCCAATAGGGCAAGACTAGAGAGATAATCCAGGTACAAAGCAAAGGTCCAGGCAGGGGCAAACAGTATCCGAACAGGGCAAGACGAGAGAGGTAATCCAAAGTGCACAGGCAAAGATCAGAACACGAGGAAACTGACAAGGCAAGACTAGGCTAAGACTATGAAACTTCAAGTAGGCTCTGTAACATAGCTATCACAAACAAGACTCGGCAGTGAATGGTTGTTTGAGTGTGTGTTATATAGTGAATGTGTGATTGGTTACAGCTGTGTGCAATCAGTGCAATGGATGATGGGATATGTAGTCCGGGATGACATGCAACAGTTTGTGTAGTGCGAGAGTCAATGTAATGGAAGGGTGACCTCTGGTGGTGATTGAATGGAAATCCATGGACCGGATTCGTGATAGGAAGAGAGTGTAGGTGGACAATAGCAGGCTGTTTGAAGGAGACAATCATTGCCGCAGAGGGGAAGGTTGAATTCTCATAGTGACTGCAGGGTGTCGTCAGATGTGGACAGGGAAGTCCGAAATTATTATTTTTTACTTATGTGCGTTGTGGTGTTCAGCCATTGGTGATTACTGTCCTCCCGAATCGTATAATGATTACCTGTGCTGGTTATTACACATAGGGCATGTGATTTAATTAAGTGTACTTTGCATGATATTTCACACTTCATTCTTTGCTGTGAATTTGGAATGAGTACTCTGGTTCTCTTTTAAATGTGTTCACGGTTTAATGAAATGACCAGTGTATGTAATCAGGCTATTTAAGTGAGACAATGCCGTACGTCTGCTATTTTTGTTAATAAAAATTATATTTTGTAATTCTTGCTCTTGACTGTTTGAGTGCTCCTCCCGGACCAAACCGGGTCAGAATTAAAGGTGGTGGCAGCATAGGTGTTATTAGCAATAAGGAAGCTCACCAGTGGCCCCTAGTGGTGGCTGAATGTATTACAAAATAACATTACCTGCTTGACAGACAGGGTTGCCAGGTTGCCAACGAAACCCGCACAATTGTTACTCCAAACTAACCGCGTTTCGAGGGGGTCCCCCTGTAAAAATTGTTTTCCAGGGACTAAATATCACGTTATCGGGGTCGCTTCAACCCGCGGCAACAGTGGTAAAGTAGCCCAATTGACTTGGCAACACTGACGAATAATAAGGTCTACAACTAGCTCTAGTTTCGGCACGACCACGACAGTTTGAAGTGATCTAATTTGGCACGGTCTCCCTGCTACACTGGTAGTAGTAGAACTTTCCACCGTGTATAGTACATGTCCTTACAAGTACAATTTTAGCTGTAGTATTTGTCCCCTTCCAAAATTGCTCTTAAGAAATTGTTTGTCCCCCCAACTGGTTGCACATGTGGGTCGAAGGACAGGCTTGAAATCAAATTACTGTTTTTTAATGTTGGGCTGTGAAATGTGTAAATTTGTTCTGTCATTTAAACAACTTTAATGACCATGTTAGTTGACCTATAATGCGCGCTGGACGCTGCTGTGTGGATCTGTCAGATTAATCACGTAATTCACCAATTTCTCCCGAAATACATTAAAGTGGCCAGTGAACTGGGAGAAAAACAGTAAACTTTATGGTTACCTACACGTGTACATGCACAAATACATATTTGATAGGAATAAAACCTTGTCAAATTTTAATTGAAAGAATTATTTGCAGCTTTCCATAGAAATCAGTGTGTATTTAACAAACTATAACCCTTGAACAGTTGTGATATATTAAAAGCACTGAACGCGTCTGTCTCTGGCTCAGCGGCAGCCAGTTAATTAGCATAGCCTAGGGTATCTTGTTTCAGGTAAGTTCATGTTTGATTAAACATCTGTAAATAGCCTTGACATCTTAAAAGGCCTATTATAGTATTTTACTTAGCTGGTTTTAGATTGAAGTTTTTGTCTTCCGAGTAAAAACAACTTTCCTGGGTATTTTTGTAATAAAAATAAGCTTCCGTTTCATAAACTTGGTACTGATAACGGTTTAACATTTACCTTAGCCTACCTTTGGGGTCTTTGCCATTATATTCCAACAACATTATGCCTCAATTAGCTATAGATTAAGAGTTGTTGTTTTAGATGTGTGTTTAATCATTTGTTGTTAAAATAACATTCTGTTCCGTAAACTGCATTGTCTGCTGGTTTTTTTTTTTAACCATTTTTCAGTGGTCATTAAGAATGCCAATTAGTATTGTAACACTTTGAATGTTAAAATACAAATTAACACCTGACCACTCTTGTGGGTTTGCTACTGTTACAATTAAAAATCATAGAAGGGTAAAAACATGCCAGGCAGACACTGGTATGTTGTAAGCAAACAGCTAAAACACATACATTTGATAATGGGTGTTAGATTTATACTGTAGTGTGTGAATAATCATGCAGTGACAATATACTCCGTTAGAGTAACTGGAGGTAAAATTCTGATTAGGGCCCCATAAAGGCTTGGGCCGGCCCTGCCTGTGATTGATGTGACTGTGATCTCAGGAAAACTGGAGGAGGCCCATCTGCCTCATTATGCCTGTTTAGCAGAGTCAGACCCCTCTCTCACACAGGCTGTGAAACTCCTCCGCAAAGGAGATGAAGGAATATCTTTTCAATCTGTAGAGCTGACCCGTTATCATGCCAAAAATAGTCCAGCCATCCTTCTCTCTTACAACTCTAATTATAAACTGGATCATGCAATGCGAAGAACACTGTAATCTTCTCTACTTCCGGTGTGAAGATCCTCTCATTCTTCACGTCTACTTTTTTACAGCTTGTTCAAAAGAAAAAAAAAAAAAAAATGAGCCGAATGAAAAATCAAGTATTTTGATCAGCCATCCGAGATCTAACAGACCATTTCGGATGAAAACACCTCACCCTCTTGAGGTTCCTGGTGCATCTGTCCATCCCGTAGAGGGGATTTAGTTTAGAACAGATATTGACCCACACTTCTACAAGGTTAAGCATCATCAGCATGATGTAAAAATGAATCTTGTCAAAGAGGTGGACAAGAAGTCTGTGTGGAAGGCCACAATATGAAAATAATTTGTCCCAGTAAATCCAAGGCAAGTCCAAGATGAGCCGCAACTGAATTCTGAGATTGATAAAGTTCACTTTGAGAAACACAGATTGGCTCTCATTAAAAGAGTTAAAAATGTGAAGAGCATTGCAGATAAACTGCATGAGGAACTATATTCTGAAATCACACATACTAATTAGACCAGTCAGGATAGCATGAGAAAGATCTGCTCCACTGTGGATTTAAGTGGTATGATTGTAAAAGGTAAATTCATTGCAATTCTCCAGGAAGAAGTGCCCCACCTCTTTGAAGAAATGGTGCGTTCTGATTCTTAAAGATTTCTTAGTGAATATATTGCTTTAGATGGGCAACTGTATAGATATGGACAGCCAGATTATGCTAAATGATAAAACGGTTTAATGCTAGAATGTAAGATACGTTGATTTCTGAACATAACTGAAATATTAATTGAAAAATACATTACCAAATTAACTGGAGATTACTCATTAGGTACTAATGTTTTGCAAACTGAATTAAAGTTACAACACTCAAATGATCAGCTTAACCGTACAAACTCATAAAACATCAAGACTGCCATTTTTGTTGTCTAAGATTGTTGAATAAGGTGAATGTACGTTTTTTTTTTTTTCTGTACAGTTTCTCTCTATACAATCGTGTCCTATTGAAATGGTCCAGTTTGACATGGTTTAGGTACATTTAACCACTTCTTTTGTAAACTGAATGAATTGATATTAGAAATAATAAAAAGTTAAAGTTGTGACTTGAGCATTCCGATTACACTCCAATTAAATATTTCGTTGTATTCTACAAGCCTACTGTAACAGTTCAAATGTTTTCATTTTAAATAGAAGTGGCTAAAATAATAGGTCATATCATTTTGGCAAAGCTATCAAACGACACGGATTTAAAGGCTCATGGTAAAACAGAAGGATATAACAATTTAAATGGCTGTTGGCTTCTTTACTTGAAGCGTGTCAATGATACCTGTAGCAAATCAGTGTAGGCCTACACAATTTGTACACGACCAACCCATGTTATTTAGGTTACATAGAAAACTGCTCTCCACCCCCTAGATGTGGATCCAACCACGCCCCCTGGATCTTGTGTTCTGGAGTGAGACTCCAAGAGGTCCTCGCTGCAGCCTGTAGCTCGATGACATTGCTGGATCAGAGCCAATACGTATTGGATGTTTGACAAGCATGCGCAGGTATTGGATTTGAATGCGCATGCGGGGCTGTCATTGAAGCTAGTATTTAATGTAAATTAAACTAATTACGAGATATAGGTGTGTTTCATAGGCTTACACAAATTATATTATACTGTGATTTTAAACTAGTAGTGTATTCAAACTTTAAGCAACGATGGCGTACACTGTAAAAAGTAATTCTGTAGGTTTGTAGATTTCATTAAATTTAATGTGTAAACTTTATTTAACAATTAATTTTTGTTTTTTTCAATATTTTTTTTAATTAGAATTAATTAAAAACGACTGGAATAAAACCTACTCAATTATGTTGTTCAGGATTTAGCTATTATTTTTGAATAATTCCAAATAGAGAGAATATTGAATGAATCCAACATGATGGAAATGAGCTGTTTTCAATTTACAAGCACTTCCTGTTACAACGCGCGGTTTAAATCAGCACGAGGCACGCATGCGCTGGAGTTTCCCGCTGACAACCTGGGGGCAAAGCTGATCACCGCGCTTTTTCAGTTCATTTCACAAAGGTAAGGAATATTATTTTATTTATATATGAAAAAAACTGTTGTTTAAATTGTCTACTTTATCTAATATAGGCGTCAATAAAAAAAATATTAGTTTAGGTTTTTTTTTTAAAAAATATATATGAAAAAAACTGTTGTTTAAATTGTCTACTTTATCTAATATAGGCGTCAATAAAAAAAATATTAGTTAAGGTCTTCTATTTAAAAATATATTGGTGATAGTGCTCTTGAAAAATAAAGATGCTAATTCGTTCATGTAACATGAACGGTTTGCCAATATTTTTGTAGATTAACGTTACTATCTAAGTGACCTTTCGTGGCCTAATATCCACATCACGTATTGCTACGTTTGAACTAGGGTGTTGCTCAAAGTATGGAAAATCACGTTTTACACCGATGAATGGCTGAAGGGGTTCATTTTAAAACCATTTAACGTTAGCGCTGCCGTTGAAATCAGCACAAGGCACGAGGCACGCATGCGCTGGAGTTTCTCGCTGACAACCTGGGGGCAAAGTTGATCACCGCTCTTTTTCAGTTCATTTCACAAAGGTAAGGAATATTATTTTATTTATATATGAAAAAAAACTGTTGTTTAAATGGTCTACTTTATCTAATATAGGCGTCAATAAAAAAAAATATAAGTTAAGGTCTTCTATTTAAAAAGATATTGGTGATAGTGCTCTTGAAAAATAAAGATGCTAATTCGTTCATGTATCATGAACTGTTTGCCAATATTTTTGTAGATTAACGTTACTATCTAAGTGACCTTTCGTGGCCTAATATCCACATCACGTATTGCTACGTTTGAACTAGGGTGTTGCTCATAAAGTATGGAAAATCACGTTTTACACCGATGAATGACTGAAGGGGTTCATTTTAAAACTATTTAACGTTAGCGCTGCCGTTGAACCGCGCGCACGTCGCTTCCATCACTCCAGTGCACCTCTTCTTTTCAATCCATCACGTTGGCATATTACGAATAATAATCCATAAACAAGTGCATTTTGTTGCACAACATCGTATGGTTAGAAATCGAGCATCGAATTTTTTTATACGTTACATTTGTGAGGACCTGCCCTGGCGATCTGCCGGGACGTTACGCGCTAATCTACAGTAAACACGGGCACACGAGCAACAATGAAAGCTTGCATGTATTTTATTTAAATAAAATCCCTCGAATCCATTCATTCCTCCGTTACATGCTGTTAGGAGCTAGCAATTAGAGTAAACGGTCATTCTGCACGATCGCGATTGTACGGAAGCCCTGAACTTGGTTTATTTGGTGTTTCAGGAAAAACAAAATCGCTATAAATGTTAGATATTTTGGTATACAGTGTTATTAACATTCCACATTTCTATTAACATTATTTTTGCAGACATACAGAAGAGAATTTTAGAAGAAGAACAATGAAAAGATGATAAAGGAGATGAGCAAAGATGAACAAAACATTTGCACATCGACGACACGAAATCATTATGATCAATGTCCATGTGTGCAAGACATAAAGGAACGATGGACAGCCCTGTTTCAACCTTCTCAAGTGAGTTAACAATACTCCGAGACAAAAAGGAACATAATGTATCTGAAAACACCCTCTCAAAACGTGAAATTAATTTGACACTCATTCCGTATTTCAGGTGAATGCAGAATTTCACAGAATAACCAGTGCAGCTGGAACCTAACTTGGTCCTCACTGGTTCTTCACACTCCCAAGCTGTTGACAACTGTTTCGTGCCAAAGGAGGAGCACTCGGAGAAAGACTGAAAACTGAGATGGAACTACTGAAGGTACAGTTTAAAATGCAAGCCATTTGGCTACTTGTTGTTTTATGTAA